CTAGGCCAAACGAGGAAACACAAGCGGACGGGAACACAAAGATGGTTACAAGGCTTTGGCGGGAGCGCGCGGGGCCTTTGGAATGAAACCCAAGCGGATGGTTACAAAGATGAGTTTCACTAGCCCGTTTCAAATTCGGTGCGGCCGACGAGAAAAACACAACCGGAAGCCTGGAGCATGCAACACAACCGGGCCAGGCCCGCATATATGTTTCCAGCTTCCCCGTACTCCCCCAGAACTCCGAAGCGAATCCAGCCGTGGCGGCGAGGGCCTCCCCAGAGGCCCCCCCAACAGAAACGAAAACGAGGGAAAGTGAGCGGTATCGAGAATTAGTCCCCGCTGACTTCGGGGAGACGTAAGACTCGGGTCCGGGGAACTGGGAATGGCCCGACGGGGCCATCCTGAGAACGACGGCGCGAGCTCCCGCTGCGGACATCCCACGAGCACCGCACCGCCCAAATCCAGGACGCGCTCGTCAAAGAGCGTCGGCAGAACCCGAGTTCCGGCGCACTCGGGCCTTACGCCTCCCTGGCGAGTGCAAGCAGGGCGCCAAGCCGACTGCCGTTGGGGGCCGCGCGCGCTGGCGCCGCGCCCCCCGGCGACCGGGCCCGCCAATGACGGGGCCCCGGCGCCGCCGGCCCTGGGACAAAAAAGGGGCTGCGGGAGGCCCGCTCGCAGAGGCGGAGGAGGCAGGCTTGCGGTGCTGAGGACTCTGCACGACCAGTGTTCAAGGTTAGCTTCCTGTGCTTCCTCATCCTGATCTTCATTGATATTCTGATGTATGGAAGTTGCTACTACGAATATCTGGTACTTTGATGTATATCCAGGTTCTAACTCCAGTTCGGTTGTTCCTGAAGTACACCTAGCCCCTCTGCACGACCAGGGTGGGTGCGGAAGGTGCAGGTCGACCCGTATCAGGAGGGCGCGCGATGAGGATACAAGGGCCTTGGAAGGCCGCTTCGAAGCGTTTCGAGCGGGGCGCGGCCAAAGAAAGTGGCCGAGGGTGGGCCAAGGAGGCAAGAATGCAAGGGTACCCTTGGGAAGGTTGCCCATCCACGCTGTGCGGGTTGACTGCATGGGCATGCTGGCCAAGACCAAAGCCTGTCCAGAATGAACAAGGCAAGCAGGCGGACGGGCGAGACCAGTTGGCGCGTGCGCGTGCGCAGGGGAGAGCTGGCATAGGACACAGGAAGGCTGGCGAGCGGGCATGACTGAAGGGCCCCTGGGACACACAAATAAATACACACAAATAACAGGATCCCCCCTATTTCCCAACATTTTCTGGGCTTTTGCCTTCCCCCCCCCACTTCCCATGTGTTCCCACATTTCCCTGGGGACCGGCGATTCATGGTGTCTGTGTTCTGTTCCCTCCTGAATGACGAGCTGGCAGCAGGCCCTGCCCCAGCTCGGGCAGAATCTGCCGCTGGGCACCGCGCCCGCCTCTTCTGAAGGGGCCCTGGGACTCACAAATAAATACACACAAATAATAGGATTCCCCATATTTTTCCATATTTTCTGGGTTTTTGTCTTCCCCACCACTTCCCATATTTTCCCATATTTTCTGGGGGGTCGACGATTAATTGTGTCTGTGTGTTTTTCCTCCTCCTGAACATGGCTTCCTCCTCGCCAGACATCTGAGGTTCAGTCTTTTTGTTCGACGACCAGGGGCACGGGCGCGGGCAGGGGGAGGCCTCAGGGAAGGCACGGCATGGGGCTCGACCACGAGAAACCCAACCCTGAGACCCCAGGAAATCCATTAGTTGGGCGCCCGAGTTATCCGGGGTAACTCGGGTCCGGGGTAACTCGGGTTTGGATTCCCGGGAAAGGAACCCGAGTTAGCCCTGACCCGAGTTACCCCTGATGATTCGGGGGCTCTGGACGCCCGAGTTATCCGGGGTAACTCGGGTCCGGGGTAAGTCGGGTTCGGATTCCCGAAAAACGAACCCGAGTTATCCCTGACCCGAGTTACCCCTGATGATTCGGGGCTCTGAATTAGTGTTTGGCGTGGGAATGCCACGCGTTCCCCCGCCAGGCCATCGAAGCCCGAGAGACCCAGGGGGACCCTGGAGGCAAAACCGGGGCGCTTTTCTTTGCATGGGCCTGCACTGCACCCGCTCCAGGCGCGCAGGAGCCGCGGTGGCGGCGCCCCTCGGGGAGAAGGGAGAGCAAGGGCTGCCAACTGGAGAGAGGGGCTCGGGTCGGGCGAAAGGGGGGGATAGCAAAGGGGGGGTTTGAGAATCAGCTCACGTAGCTGATTTTCCCGGCGCCTCCCAGCGCCGGAGGCGGCTATGTATCGAGGAATGGGCCCCTCGGTGAGGCTGAAACCAGCTGCATGCAGCAAATTTCGTAACCCCCCCTTTCCCAATCCCCCCCTTTCGCCCGGCCCGAGTTTGGTGTGGGAATGCCACGCGTTCCCCCGCCAGGCCATCGAAGCCCGAGAGACCCAGGGGGACCCTGGAGGCAAAACCGGGGCGCTTTTCTTTGCATGGGCCTGCACTGCACCCGCTCCAGGCGCGCAGGAGTCGCGGTGGCGGCGCCCCTCGGGGAGAAGGGAGAGCAAGGGCTGCCAACTGGAGAGAGGGGCTCGGGTCGGGCGAAAGGGGGGGATAGCAAAGGGGGGGTTTGAGAATCAGCTCACGTAGCTGATTTTCCCGGCGCCTCCCAGCGCCGGAGGCGGCTATGTATCGAGGAATGGGCCCCTCGGTGAGGCTGAAACCAGCTGCATGCAGCAAATTTCGTAACCCCCCCTTTCCCAATCCCCCCCTTTCGCCCGGCCCGAGTTTGGTGTGGGAATGCCACGCGTTCCCCCGCCAGGCCATCGAAGCCCGAGAGACCCAGGGGGACCCTGGAGGCAAAACCAGGGCGCTTCTTTGCATGGGCCTGCACTGCACCCGCTCCAGGCGCGCAGGAGCCGCGGTGGCGGCGCCCCTCGGGGAGAAGGGAGAGCAAGGGCTGCCAACTGGAGAGAGTGATGGGCCTGTTTTCCACCACCACCACCATATGTTGGAGGGGGAGGGGGTCCTCCTCCTCCTCCTCCTCCTCCTCCACCTCCTCCTCGTCCTCCTCCTCGTCCTCCTCCATCCCCCCTCTCACTTATGGTGGTGGTGGTGGAAAACAGGCCCATCAGAGAGGGGCCCCTGGAGAGGGGCCAGCCTGGAAGAGAGAGGGGCGCCCCTGGAGAGAGGGGGGCGCCCTTGGAGGGAGAGCAAAAGGGCGCGCCTGGAGCGAGGGGCCGGCCTCCCCTCTGAAGGTGGCTGAACTGAAGGGGCCCCAGGACACACAAATAAATACACACAAATAAAAAGGTTCCCCATATTTTCCCATATTTTCTGGGTTTCTGTCTCCCCCCCCACTTCCCATAAAATCCCATATTTTCCTGGGGGATCGAGGATTGATTGTGTCTGTGTGTTTTTCCCCCTCCTGATTCTAAGCAGCCCCCTCGCCTCCTGAGAGGCCGGCGGCGGCTTCGGAGAGAAGGCTCTGCAGAGCTCCTCACGACGCGGGAGGGCTTCCGAGAGCTTCCCTCCTCGCCACGCGAGAAGGCCAGCCCCCTCTGCCTTTTCCCCTGGCGGGCGTTCTCCGATTCGGCGTTTCGACGTTGGGCGGCACGGGGAGGGGGAGAGGGAGTCTGACTCTGGACCTCTCCTTGACGCGACTGTTTGCAGCAGTGCGTCCCATGGGGGAGGGACCCCACCTGCCTGAAGCGGGCGCCGGCAACAAGCAAGATCCACTCCAAGGGACGGGGGGGGGGGAGTGGGTGGTGGGCGCGAGGGCCCGCGCCGGTCGACAAAACGGCGAATCAGACAACGATCACCTGGGCGCACCGCCAAATCTGATTGAGCAGGGGGCCCTAAGTCGGGCCTGTCCCCCATACAGGGGGATTTTCGACGACAAATAACAAAATACCCTAGAAATAATAGACAAAATTCTCCACAAACAGTCCGGGGACTACTTTTTGAAGATTGTTCCACCTTTTGGGGGGTATTTTGGGGGTATTTTGTACTTGTCGTCGAAAACCCCCCTGTGGTGCGACACGCTCGACATCAGCGAAGCCCTCGGCCCCTGGCGGCCCTCGGCGGTCGACGGCGCGACGGGCAGGACGGCCGCCTCCCGGCGGGCGGGCCGCGGCCTCCGCCGCACCGGCTGGGCGCGGCCGAGAGCGGCTCGGGGGCGCTGCCCCGGGGGGCTGCGGCGCCACGGGCGGGAGCACTGCGGGTGGCACGGTGCGGGAGCAGCTCCCGGGAGATGGCCGCGGGCAGGCGAGGAAGAGGCGCCACGAGCAGAAGACCCTGGCGCTCCGCACGGGCTTTTTGGATCTGGGCTGGGACCCCCTCCCCGGCGCGCGGAGCGCGCCAGGGGCGGCGCCGGAGGCGCCCCTGGGGGAGCCCAGCGCGGATCCAAGAAATCCGCGCGCAGCGCCAAAGTCTACGTTTATGGCGCCTTTTCTTCTTCGAGTAAGGTAGATTCAGGGTTGCGAGTCCGATTCAAAAATCTTTGGCCTGGATTCGGCCAGATGAGGCGTGGATCAAGCCCGATTGAACGGGGTTAAGCGGCAGTCGGCCACACTAAGCGGGATTGTGCCGGGTCAGGCAAGCTTTCGCCACGAGTGGATATATGCCAGGGTTGATGCTGAATGCAACCTCCAAGGAGTTGCGTTCTAAACAGGGTGAGCTGCCCCCAAGTCGTGCGGGAGTTGACATCAGGTTCACAGGGACTCGCGAGTAACACGCAGCAGTGCAAGGATCCCCCAAGACGTCCCAAGAGGCATTTAAGATTCCGCCCAAGAGCGCCCCGAGAGGGCAAAATCGTTGATTGTCATTGTTCTTGTTTCGCTTTTATTTTTTTTTGTATTCTCGCTGTTTCGTGTTTCCGGCGCTGAAGCGTTGCCCAAGAGGCTCCCAAAACCGCTCCAAGACGGCCCAAGAGGTACCCGAACCAAGGGTGAGGCGAGCAATGAGGCCGCGGGCGCGGCGCAGAGCCCATCCCCGCGAAGGCTCAAATTAGGACACAACGCACACGTCCTTGATCTGCCCGCGTCCACAGACGCAGCCTGGCACGGAGCCGCCAATGCTGATAATTACGCTGCTATTCCTGCTGCTGCTGCTGCTGCTGGACAGATTGCCCATCGCTGCCCGTGCCCCGACGAAAGCGTCTGCTCCGTAATGCCCTGACCCCCACTGCTGCAAGCAACGTGTCACTGCAAAGGACTTTCCACAACTAACGGATGCTATGTAATACCTGGGACAGTAGTCAGTCTCACTTGGCGTTCATGAGTGCCGCACCCGATTCCCATCACGTTACCTTGCGCTGCCACTGCAATGCGCCGAAATTCGTTCACGTCATTGTACTTCGCACTGACATCGTATGAATGTACCGCCGCCAGAAATACGTCTCTTCTCGATCCGCATCCCTGCCCCTTCTTCACCCCATAGTCAAGCACATCGCATGGTGCGGCGACCACGCGCGCATATGTGCACTTGCCAAGGGCTGGGGCTTGCTCGAGCCCGAACGCGCAAGAAGCGCGAGCGCGCGCCACCCTGCTTCTGGCACGAAGTGGAGTGCCCCAAGGCTCACGCAACCCTTAGGGGTGGGCGCTGCGCTGCTGCTGCTGCAGCGAGACTTGCAAGTGAATCGGAACCCGGGCCCTGGGCCTGTCCAACATGTTCCTATCTTCAATGCCTTTCCGAGGTCTTCCGGGCTGGCTGCCTTGGGTTCTGACGTGTTTCCTGCGCCCTAAGCGACCTCCTGAACCCTGCCATGAGTCCAAGAGGGCCCCGAGTCGCCGAACGATCGCTCCAAGACGCCCAGGATGGCCTCAAAATGGCCAAAGAGGCCTCCCTGACGCCACAAGAGGCCTCCACGAGGCCTCCCGAGAGCGCCCCAAAAAGCAAAATCATAGATCCCCCTGAAATGTTAAGGATTTGGGCGTTCTCGCCTTTTCGGCTTTCCGACGCTCCAAGACGGCCCGAGAGGCCCCCAAGACCACCCAAGACGGCCCAAGAGGCCTCCAAAGGGCCTCCAAAGGGCCTGAGAGCGCCCAAAGACGGCCCCAAGAGGGGCTCAAGAGAGGAAACACGGGCCGAAAGTTCGAGCCTTCCTCCCAAGAGGCACGCAGGAGGTCCCAGGAGGCGCCCAAGAGGCCCGCAAGAGGCCCCAGGAGGCACCAAGAGGCCCCCAAGATGTCCAGGAGAGGCCCGACGAGGCTCCAAAACGCCCCCCTAGAGGCCTCAAAACTGCCTCCTAAAACCTCCCTCCACGAGACCCCAAGGAACATCAAACAGGAAGTATACCCACACCCCAGGCACGGTGGCGAGAGTAGGCGAATGCCGTTCGATATTCCTTCCTGGGCATTTTCATATCGGAGAAGCCACGGGTCCCCCCCATCCCCCACGTGAACTCCAATACGGGCAACCAACTGCTCCAAGAATCGATGGTTCCTGCTCTGGTCGCCTCCCGGACAGTTCCAGAGAGCTCCACAACGACACCGTAGGGCCGCACGACGGCTCAAGATAGCAGCACCACAAATCAAGATGCCACCACAATGCTCAACGAGGGCTCCAACGAGGCCCCACGCGACTACAAGCATGTAGTGCTGCACGTGTTTCTATGACTTTTGCGTTCTTCGAATTCCGCATGCCCACGACGACCCAGCAGGCCCCCTCGTGCAGCCCAACATGGCCCACCAGGAGCGTGGGCGTCTCCCAAGACGGACAAACACCGCCCCGCGACGCCCCAGGGGGATGCACAGAACAAAGCAAGAGGCTACTCAACACCGCCCCAACAAGTGTCCAAGAGGGAGGAACTCAAAGGAGCCCTGGAAGCCTTTCCCCGCCAAGATGGCCCCGAAGGTCCCCAACGTTCCCTCAAGATGTCCCCTGGAGACCCCAACAAGTTTCCCCGACCCCAAAAAGCCACCCAAAAAGCACCCAACAACCTCCAAAACGCCATCCAAAACGCGCGTAAAAGACCTCCCGTTACCTCGCATGGGCCTTGTCGTTGTCGTTCTCGACATCGTCATCCGCCTCCTCCGTTTCGTCGTCGCAGTCCTCCCCTTCATCATCCCTCTCCTATTCCTGCTGCTCCGCCTCCGCCCTTCTCCGGGACCTCTCAATTCGCAACATGTGCCAACTAAGGCGTTGCCGAAGAGGAGCTCACCTCCCGAATCCTTTTTCTCACACGCAATATGTCAAAACATGTATGATGTTCCTATGTATCTTCTCGACCGGACTACAGTCGGACTCGATTGGACAGGACATGCGAGAGAACACAAGACCCTTCCGAGGGGCACATTGCCACAGAAATGTAGGAAGCATGGGTCGCGAGACACAGGACACAAGGTACCCTTGATTTGGCAGGGTCGACCTACTAATCCGGGCCGACTGCATGTCTGTTCAGAAATTGTTTTCCCCGCTGCAGCGTCGGCCGCATCTCAAGGTCGGCGCTGTGCCCCCGTCGTCGAGAATTGCGGCACCGCCCCGGTGCGGGTCACAGTCCTGGATCCGATTCGTTCGTCGTTGCCCTTCCCCTCGTCTGCTCCTCTTCCGCCTGCCCCAGGTATTCCCGTCTCTCCTGCCCCTCCTGCGGCTCCTCCTCCTCCTTCCTTATCATGGTTCTCTCCCTCCTGCTCATCCGCCACCCCCTCGACCCACACACAACGCCCCCACATGTGCGTGTGCATCACTGGAATCACTCTGGGACCCAAGTTCATCTAGTACACCCCAGCTGGCGGATAGGAAATAATTCAGCGCGAAGAGAAGGGATCAGCGAGAGGGGTAGGATGTCAGATACAGTGGAAGCCCGACGACAAGACACCTTCCACAAGAAACCCAACCCTGAGATCCCAGGACGCCCATGGATTCTTGGTGCGCAAAACCGTCGAAGCCCAAGAAACCCAGGGCACCCTGGAGGCAAGCAGGGTGTTTCTTGGCATTGGCCCCCACTGTATGGTGCGAGCGCACCTGGCTTGCCCGCGCCCGCATTTCCCTCCGCCTCCTGCTGCCCCTGGTGTGCTGCGGCCCCGGGGCCTCCGGGCCTGGCTTCAGGCATACGCAAGACTGATGTGGGAAAACCAAAGAATACGGATACCGCGACTCCAGGGATCTCTCCCGGGGCGCGTTCTGACCAGGATTTCGGAGCTAACTCGCCCTAGCGGCGAGGGCTTCCAAGGAGGCCCACACCCGGGGAAAACGACGGAAAGGTACTGGAAGGGGCACGTGTTCCTCCTCTGACTGTGTGCAGCCCCGCGTGGGCGAGGCACCCGGGCGGGCCTCCTCCGTGGGCCTTCGACGGAATGTCGGCCGACAGCTCGGTGCCGAAGAGGGGGACGGCTTCCACGATGCTGGCCTCGGGGCCACGGGGCGGACAGCCGAGGGGCCCCCAGGCGCGCTCGAGTGGAAGGGCGGGGGCCGCGAGCTTGGGGTTATGACTGGCCCCCTCCCTCGATCGCCAGGATTGGCGAAGGCTGCTCCCCGGGATCCGGCGCTGCGAAAAGTATGCAGCGCCGCGAGCCATTACGACTGGGGACCGAGGCCCGCCTGCTCTGCTACATGAACCGTCCGTGTCTATATGTGGTCTTGGATCCGGGGCTCCACAACAGGGCAAGCTCGCCCACCGCGGAAAAAGAACGACGCCTGGATCTCAGGGCTCCACTTCCTCCTCCTGCTGCTCCTGGTCCTGCTTTTGTCCATGCTCCTGTTCCTGTTTCTCCTCCTCCTCTTCCTCCTCCTCCTCCCCCTCCTCCTCGCTCGTTCGGGAGACTCTGAGGGATACGAAGGCATCACCCTCTGCGATGTGGATGGCGCAGTGAGCTCGAACGGGAGCACGCCAAAAAGCGGACCCCCAAAGGGCGCGAACCCCGCGCCAATGGCACCGCCATACATGGGCGGATGCTCAGGAACCCTGTCGACAGCGCCCACCTTCCCTCCTCTTGGTCCTCGTCGTCGTCATCCTCCTCTTCCTCCTCCTCCTCCTCGTCCTTCTCCTCCTCCTCTTCCTCCTCCCCCTGCTCCCTCTCCTCCTTGCTCGGTGGCGGAATTCTCAGAATGCGAAGGCGTCACCCTTTCCAATGTGGACCGCGCAATGAACTCGCGCGGGAACACGTCAAGGGTCGGGCCCCAGGGTGCGCGAACCCCACGCCAATGGCACCGCCGTGCGTGGGCTGATGCTCGGGAACCCGGTCGACAGCGCCCACCCTGCCTCCTCCTGCTCCTCTTGGTCTTCTTGTTTCTCTTGTTCCTCCTCATCCTCATCATCATCCTCGTCCTCCCCCTCCCCCTCCTCCTCCTCCTCCTCCTCCTCCTGCTCTTCCTCCTCCTCCTCTTCCTTCTCCTCCTCCTCCTCCTCCTCCTGCTCCTCCTCCTCTCCTCCTCCTCGTCCTCCTCCTCCTCCTCTCCTCCTCCTCCTCCTCCTCCTCCTCCTCCTCCTCCTCCTCCTCCTCCCTCCTCCTCCTCCTCCTCCCCTCCGCCTCTCGTCTCCTCGTCCTCCTCCTCGTCCTCTTCGTCCCCCTCGTCCTCCCTCGTCCTCGTCCCTCCTCCTCCTCCTCTCCTCCTCCTCTCCTCCTCCTCCTCCTCCCTCCTCCTCCTCCTCCCATCCTCCCTCCTCCTCCTCCACCTCCTCCTTCTCCTTTTCCTCCTGCTCCTCCCCCCTCCTCCTCCTCCCCCTCCACCTCCTCATCTTCTTCCTCCTCATATTATTCCTCCTCCTCCTCCTCCTCCTCCTCCTCCTCCTCATGATCATCATCATCTTGATCATCATCATCATCATCATCATCATCATCGTCAGAATCATCATATTCATCATCACCATCACCATCATCAACATCATTTCACCACCACCACCACCATCATCAGCATCACCAACATCATCAGCAGCAGCACCAGCATCAACATCAGCATCAACATCATCATCACACCACAACCAGTCCTCCTAATGTGTCTTCTCCCCCTAATGTGTCTCCCCCTCCTCCTCTCCCTCCTCCTACTTCGCTTATTATCCCTGATCATCCTTTTCCTCCTCCTCCTCCTCCTACTCATCATCATCAACAACATCATCATCACCATCATCATCATCCATCGGTCAAACCAAAATGTTCTCTTCACCCCCAAATGCATTTTCCAGCGCGAGCCGCGCGAACACGGCAGGACGACCCAGCGGAGCTCCTCCTCATTGCCCGCCTCGCCAGCCCCGCCAGCGCGCTAAGGGCGCCAGCTCGTCAGCCAGCGCGGCCGCGGAAGCCTGCGCCGCCGCGCGCCCGAGGGCGGTCCGCACCTGGCGCGCGGCGGCCACGTGCAGGGCGGCGCTGAGCTCGGCTGCCGTCCCGGCCAGCGCAGCAGCTGGGCGCGGCCGCGCGCGAGCCAGCGCAAATGCTTCAGCGCCGCTGGCCCGCGGCGTCTGGCTGTCTGCTAGCTGAGCGGCAGCACGCGCCAGGGGGCGCGGCCTGCGGGGTAGCGGCGACTCTTGTCGCGCCCCCCCTCCCGCGCCACGGCGCCGTCCGCGCCTGCCGCCGAAGGCCAGGGCGTCGGCTGCGCCCAACACACTGCAACGAACTGTGACATCTGCTAGCAGCTACGAGCAGCCCGCCCGCTGCGTCTGCTGGTCGAGAAGCGTTTTTTTTCGCGCGGGGGGAACCTGTAGCGCGGCCTCGCCGGCCTGGCAGGGCCCAACCGGCGGGGCGTCCGGCGTGTCCGCGCGCCGCGAAGCTGGGCGACATGCGCGTCCAGCGCCAACGGTCCAAGGCCAGGACGTGGACCTGGCGCGCTGTGTGGAAACCGCATTCTGCGCGAATGCGCTCCAAAGCATCTTCGGCGGCCTGGCTCCCCGCTTTCGTGCCTCCTCCGCAGGCGCAATGGAAAAAGCGTTGTGCGCCTTGCTGCAGGGGAATGGCCGCAGGCTGCCCGGCACGTGCGCCTGTGCGCAGCCGGTTCTGGCAGCGGCCCTTGGACGGCGCGAGGTCCTGGCCCAGCCGCGCCCGCGCTGAATCCAGGTAGTCGTCGTCCCCCAGGCGCTGCCCAGGCCCGCCGTTCGACCGCCGCCAGCAGGCCGCGTATGCGCCGACGCAGGAGCGGAACCGCGCCCGGCCCTCAGGGCCCAAGTTGCTCAGCAAGAAGCGGAAGCTGTTTTTGTCGAGCCTGCGCAGAAGCATTTGTTTGAGTTTTCTCCCGAGGCGCTTGGGCAAGCTCCCGCCAGGGCGGCAGCGGCGCAGCGTCCTCCTATTCCTTTGCGTCCTACTCTTCCTCCTCATCATCCTCCTCCTCCTCCTTCTCCTCCTCCCGATCCTCCTCCTCCTCCTCCTCCTCCTCCTCTTCCATCTCCTCCTCCATCTCCTCCTCCTCATCTTCCTCATCCGGTTCCTCTTCCCCCTCCTAATGTGTCTTCTCCTCCTCCTCCTCCTCCTCCTCCTCCTACTTCGCCTCTAATCCCTGATCCTCCTCCTCCTCCTCCTCCTCATCATCATCATCATCAGCAGCATCAACATCAGCATCAACATCATCATCATCATACTCCTCCTCATCCTCTTGCTGTTGTTGTTGGCTTCGCGCTCGGCAGCGACGAAGCCACCCTCGTCTTCCTTCTTCTCTTCTTCCTCCTCCTCCTCCGCCTCCTCCTCGTTCGCCCGCGAGATTTCAAGAGTCCACAGACGTGACCCATTCCAAGGTAAACGGCGCGGTGACTTCGTGTAGGTGCACAGCCATGTGCGAGCGGGTTCCCGGGAGCCTAGCTGAGAGACAGCCCCCCCTCCTCCTCCCGTTCCTCATCGTTCCCCCCTCCCCCCACGCCTCCTGGACAGAAGAAGAAGAAGAAGAAGAACAGAAAGAAGCACTCTAAGAAACAACATAATAATACCTATACGACCACCCTGCGGGTGATAAGGAGGTTGGGGGGGGAGGGGGGCCAGAAATGGGCAACAGTGGTGGTTGTTGCGTTGCCGCTCGCTCTTGGGAGCATTGGTGTCGAGTTGTTTGCGTTGTTTACAATATCGATCTCACTCGATCGATCTCACTCGATCGATCTCACTATCGATCCCACTCGATCGATCTCACTATTGATCTCTCTATCGATCTCACAAGCGATGCCGTTATCGGTCTCACGATCGATGGGACCATCGATCCCACTATCGATCTCACTCGATCGATCTCAATATCGATCTCACTCGATCGATTGCACTGTCGATCTCACTCTGGATCTCGATATCGATCCCACTAACGATCTCCCTATCGGTATCACTCGAACTCACAATCGACATCACTATTCATCTCACGAGCAATCTCAGTATCGATCTCACAATCGATCTCACTCGATCGATCTCACTATCGATCTCACTCGATCGATCGCACTGTCGATCTCACTCTGGATCTCGATATCGATCCCACTAACGACCTCCCTATCGATATCACTCGAACTCACAATCGACATCACTATTCATCTCACTATCAATCTCACTATCGATCTCACTCGATCGATCCCACTATCGATCTCACTCGATCGATCTCACTATCGATCTCACTCGATCGATCGCACTGTCGATCTCACTCTGGATCTCGATATCGATCCCACTGACGACCTCCCTATCGATATCACTCGAACTCACAATCGATATCACCATTCATCTCACTATCGATCTCACTATCGATCTCACAATCGACTTCGCCATCGGTCTCACTATCGTTCCCGCACCAGCGGGACACCGGCGGGACACCGGCGGGACACCGCCCGGCCCAACTGGGACACCTCCCGGCCACCGGCGGACGGGAAACGGACTTTCGCTCCTACACCTCGCGAAATGCTTAAGAATTCATGGGTTAAGAAATTCATAGTCTCAGAACTTGAATAAAAAACCGGAATTTCTATCGAAATCTTAGGACTTACATTGAAACGTTAAGAATAATCGAGACTCTGGCCAAAAACTTAAGTTTTCTTAAGCATCGCCTAAGGTGTACTGACACCCGGGGCACCCGGGACACCGCCCGGCCAAACTGGGGCACCCCCCAGCCACCGGCGGACGGGCACGGACTTTCGCTCCTACTTCGGCCTGGCTGCAGGAGGATCACGCGCAGCTTCGCCTCGCCCGCACGCGCGACAGGAGCACAAAAAACCGAAACCGATTTCCCGGGGGGGGTCTCCGTTTCACTGCGATCTCACCCCCCAACCTCCGATTTACTTTAAAAATGAAGAAGAAGAATACGGATAATAAGAACAACAGCGCCATAAACTTTCGGAACTCCGCGTGGATGTCCTGGATCGACGCTGTGTTCCCTGGCTGCGCCAAGGGTGGCGCTGGAGGCGTCGCCAGGGGAGCCGTGAAATTTGTTCAATGAGCTCGCGGTGTTCGCATTCGTGTGTTATTC